ACCAGTGCCAAGGCCCTGAGAGGGGCAATAGCTTAGAGGATGGGCTGCAACAAGGCCGGAGGGCATGAAAGGTGGGTGCCGAGGTTGCAGCCTGGTGGCCCTGGGCCTCAGACACCATGGCGCTGAGCTCGGGTTTTATTCATTGTGAGACAGGAGCTGACTGACAGCCTGCCCTCCCCACCAATCTCAGGCCAGGAGTTTGCAACCTGTTCAGGTGGCCCATCCCAAGTCTACACTTGTGTTTGCCGCCAGCACCCTTCTGTCTCCCTCCCTGGCACAGCCTAACTCGGGAGAAGGTCTACACAGCTGGTGCTCATCCCCACCTCCTCAACATGCCCCCTGGCAGCCTTCGCTGCAGCCACCCTCCCCATTCCCGGCCCAAACAGCTCCTGCAGGGGTCACTCAACTCCAGATTCCAGGGTGGGGACAGAGAAGATGCGTTTCCTTTTTAGATGCTGGTGTTTCTGATTTCTCCACACTGAATCTGTCTTGTGTAAGAAGTCTTGACCCTTGGTACCCTGTGACAGTCCCTCCAGCCTTGCAGTCCTCCTGTGGTAGCCTTGGGCCTGCCCTGTCCCTTAAAGGTTGGGGTCCTCAGGGCTGGACAGAGCCCTGCCTCCTCGGGGACAGGGAGGTCCAGGGCTCTGTGGAACATGGGAGTGTGAAAAAGTACATTCTGTGCTGTAACTTTATCCTCAGGAAATGAAATAAAACAGTAGACACTGAACCCAACTGCTGATGTAATACTGCAGGCTCAAAGATGTGGGCATCATGGGTATATTTACTTGGCGCCAACTTCTTCACTCCTCCTTTCTGGTCTCGCCCCAGCCCTGTCATGGAGGTCAGGGATTTGTGTCTGTCTTTTCCCCAGCACAGGGCACAGGGCAGTGCACCGGCTGAGCGCATGATTCCCAGGCAGCAGAGAAGCACATTGCTCAGGGAGATGTGGCTTTTCGAAGTTCAGTAACCCAGCAGCACACCTGCATGACCCCCTCCCTTCCCGGTTCCTGTCCTCACCCCCTCCCTGATGTCCCTCACCCAATGTCAATTGTGCAGGCCCTGGGCACACCAAGGTGAAGGGGACAGACCCAGGACCTGCCTTCACGGTGCTTCCAGCTAAAGGCAGCCCCCAGCACCCACATCCTGAGGTTCCCTTGGAAGGTCAGATCAGGCGGACTTGTCCCAGAGCCCATTCCTCCACTGTCCCCCACATGCTGACCTTTGTCCCCAAATCCAACAGCCTCCCCCACCATGAGCCCTGCCCTCCCCCAAACCAGCTCTCCCTCCAAGCTCTCCCTGCAAAGTACAGGCGAAGGGCCCACATTCCTCATCTCCCAGGCCTGGCACAATCCCACTCCTGCCTTCGCAGCCCGCCTCAGCTCTCTCACCAAAGCTGCCTCCCTGAAAGGAGGTTTCCTTTTTCTTTTTGAGACAGGGTCTTGCTCTGTCACCCAGGTGTGATCATAGCTCACCTCAGCCTTGACCTCCTGGGCTCAAGCGACCCTCCTGCCTTAGCCTCCTGAGTAGCTAGGACTTACAGGCCTGCAGGCCACCACATCCTGCTATTTTTTTTTTTTTTTTTTTTTTGAGACAGAGTTTCACTCTTGTTACCCAGGCTGGAGTGCAATGGCACAATCTCGGCTCACCGCAACCTCCGCCTCCTGGGTTCAGACAATTCTCCTGCCTCAGCCTCCTGAGTAGCTGGGACTACAGGCATGCGCCACCGTGTCCAGCTAATTTTTTGTATTTTTAGTAGAGACGGGGTTTCACCATGTTGACCAGGATGGTCTCGATCTCTTGACCTCGTGATCCACCCACCTCGGCCTCCCAAAGTGCTGGGATTACAGGCATGAGCCACCGCGTCCGGCCTTTTTTTTTTTTTTTAAGAGGTGGGGACTTGCTATGTTGGCTAGGCTGGTCTCAAACTCCTGGCTTCCAAGCGATCCTCCTGCCTCAGCCTCCCAGAGTGCTGAGATTACAGGATAAGCCACTGAGCCCAGCCTCAAGGTTTCTGAAGCTCAACTGGGACTCAGAGGTCGCTGCAACCTGACCCCAGGATAATTTTAAAGGCATGTGCATTTGCTCAACAACAAAGCAAAACAGGTCATGCTTGTCTCCCTATCGGCTTCCATAATTTTCTCACGATTGCCACATGCTGTTTTTTGTTGTTTACCGAGAGCCAGCTCAGCTGTAAAGACCCCCCACCCAGGCAGCACTGACGGAACCAAGAAGCAGACACCCAGACAGAAAAGTAAGTGGGTCTATCTGGGGGTCCAGCAGCCTTCTGAGCTGAGAGCCTCAGGGCTGACAGCATTCCAGGCTGAAGGGGCTGGAGTAGATTCTGACTCACGCAGTTATTCTCTCTTAACAGGTGATCATTAACAAACAGATGTTCGGTGTTTTCTCATAACACAGAATATGCCAAGTAGGCAGCTGGTGCCCGCTTACCACTGATGACAGACAAACTAACAAGCATTCTCCACGAGGGAGCCACGGGGTCAGGGTCAGATATCTTAAAGCATTGTTTTAACTCGTGTATGATATTGATACCTTGTCCTGCCACTTGGAATGCCCCAAGTAGTTTTCTACTTGAGTGGGTGGGCGACTAGGTTTTTCTTGCCATGGTTATTCCTAGCAAACAATATATTCTATCACACACTCAGCATTTATCAATATTCATAAACTTAACATTTCTCAACAGTTGTTGGGTTTTTGTTGTTTTGGTTTTTTTGAGACAGTCTCACTCTGTCGCCCAGGCTGGAGTACAGTAGCATCGTGCCAGCTCACTGCAACCTCCGTCTCCTGCGTTCAAGCAAATCTCCTGCCTTAGCCTCCCAAGTAGCTGGGACTACAGGTGCCCACCATGCCTGGCTAATTTTTATATTTTTTAGTAGAGACTGGGTTTCACCACGTTGGCCAGGCTGGTCTCAAACTCCTGATGTCAGGTGATCTGCCGGCCTCAGCCTCCTAAAGTGTTGTGATCACAGACATGAGCCACCGTGCCCAACACTGCATGCTGTTAAGGTACTTGATTTTCCTCCCAAACCTCCTCAACCAGGAATGGATGTTCAGGGATTTGTGTTTACCTTGTGAACCCTCCAGCATCCCAAGGACACCCTGCTCCTAAGGTAAGTGACTAGACGTAGGTCATCCAGTGTAATCACCAGTCTGCAGGGTTCAAGTGATTCTCCTGCCTCAGCCTCCCAAGTGGCTGGAATTACAGGTGTCTACCACCACGCCTGGCTAACTTTTGTATTTTTTAGTAGAGACTCGTTTCACTACGTAGCCCCTCAACCAGTTCCTGCCCATTTGGTCTGGGCTTCTCTTGGGGTCCCCCATGCTACTACTGCTTTTCTGGCTCATGGGCCACTCTCCCCCCATGCACACACCTGCCTCCCTGAGGCACCCGGGTGGGTGAGAGAGGGTGGCGATATTCAAACACAGGCCTCCAGACTCCTCATTCAGGGCACACCAGCTATCACGAGCCCTGGACTAGGAGTCAGCAGACCTAGGGTTTGGGTCTCTTCCTAACCAACATTCTAGTTAAGACTCCATGCCAGGAAGGGCAGCCAGGCCCAGCCCGGGCACCCCGAGCTCGGGATCCCGACGGCACCCAGGCAGGAGAAAGGCCTCAGGAGGAGGACGAGGACAAAGGGCGGCCTCACTGGGACTGGGCTATAGTGCTGGACTTCCTGGCTGGATGCGCGCAGGGAGTGGGGTGGGGAAGGAAGCTGTGGGCAGGGCCGGGGAGAGGCGTCTGGGAAGGGCTGCCGTTCCACCTGCACGTCCGTTGGGGACCCCCGCCCCTAGCATCAGGCTGCACTACAGGCAACACCTACCTGAGTGTCGTAGTACCAAATACACAGAACCTTACGATCTGCCCCTCCAGCAGGTACAGCACCCACTGGAATTCAAATAAAAGAACCATGTGATTCTAAGCCTGGAAACGTGGCACAGAGTGTGGCCTTGCCTGCAGGCCCTGAAGAAGGAAGCTGGGCCCTAAGGCTGTGCGATCTGACTCCCACAGTGAAGAGAAAGTGCCTGACCCGTCTGCTCCCAGGCTCCAAACCGACCGTCTGGACCTCCCGAGGCGCTGGGGAAGAGCTGGTGGGAAGTCACCGACGGAGACCCTCCACAAGGACCACGGTAGTCCCTTGCCACTGCGAATGTCAGGGACTCCTTGGGGGGCCGAGTCAGACTCGGCTCTAACTCATCTCCGCAGCCCAGGGGTACCCTGATGACCCAGAGCCAAGCGCCCTCCGACTTCAGCGTCTGAGCACGGCCCCTCCGGTCTCGCCCCGTCCCGCCACCGCTGACGGACGCGCTGCGATCTGCCCTGGCTCCACTCCGCAGCCTGTCCACGTCCCTCCCTCCACAGCCTTCCGTGGCTCCCGCGACCCGCAGTCCAAGGGAAAGTGCTGTTTCCCGAAGGCCTGGCTGCGCCCTTTGCCCCATGACCCCTTTCCCTTTTAAAGTTCTCTCCTCTCCACCCAAATCCCAGCCTCAGGCCCCACGGAAGCGCCCGAGTGCGTCCGACCCTCACAATCCGGCGGGTTCGGCCAGGAGGCCACCGCCGCCACGGGCGCGCAGGCGGGACGGGCAGAGGCTCCCCAGCGGCGATTCCAGCCCGCGGAGTTTCACAACTAGCGGCGCTCCAGCCTCCGGGCCTCGGAGGGTCCCGGCGCTCCAAGGCCGTTATCGCGGCAGGGTCCGTACGGCACAGGCGAGGGCGCTGAGGTTCCGCGGCGGCGCTGGACTTCGAACCCAGGGCCTGTCCGGGCCAGCGCCGCCCGGCGCACTTCGGGAGGGGTCCCCAGCCGCGGGGCGGACGCACCCCGCGCGCTCTTTGTCTGCCGGGCCTCGGCGCCCGGCCCGCGCGCCCGCCACGTCCCCCGCGCCCCGCCCGCCCGCGCACGCCCGGCCAATGAGGCGCGGCGGCGGAGCTCAGGGCCCCGGGTGTTGTCCGCGCCGCGCCCGCCCATTGGCCTCGCTCAGCGCCCCGCCCGGGCCCCGCCTGCGAGCACGAGGGGCGGGGCGCGGGGCCCGAGGTGAGGGACCGCGGGCCCGAGGGGATCCAGCCAGCCCGCAGCCGCCGCCGAGGGACCAGCCGGGCCCCGCCGCCGCCGCCGCCGTCCCCGACCGCGCCCCTGCCTGCCCGGGCTCCGCGCCCCAGGACGGGCGGCCAGGCCCAGCCCCGTCTCCGCGAGCTCGGGGACCCCGACGGCGCCCAGCCAGGAGAGGGGCCGTAGGAGGAAGACAAGGAGAAGGGCGGCCTCGCCGGGGACCCGGCCATGGCGCTGGACTTCCTGGCTGGATGCGCGGGGGGTAAGGAGGCGGCGGGCCGGGCCGGGGCGAGGCGTCCGGGGAGGGAGGCCGGCCCACCTGCACGCCCGGGCCTCGCGGCTTCCGCTGGCGGGGGTCGCCGCGTCTGTGAATGGGGACAGCAGTGCTCTTGCCTCGGGCGGCTCTCCTGGGCGTAAACTGACTTCAGGCCCCGGCTGTCCGCGGGGGCAGGTGTCTTGAACCCCTCCGGGCACGCTCGGAAGGGAGGTCTGGGGCGCCGGGGTAGCACCGTGGCCGGGCGGAGGCTAGGACTGCCGGGAGGATGTCCCGCTGCCCCCCCGGCACCGCAGTCCTGGACTTGTCTCCCTCCCTTCCCCCATCCTCATCCGGCGCGCCCCGGGAGCAGGTCTCCTCCCCCCGCCGTAAATTTTGGGGCTGACTCCACCCGGTTCCGCACAGCCGTCTAGCTGGGTGTGGCTACGGGGCGACCCCTACCCGGCTGGCCTTGGAGGGCACCGAACCGCTCTGGCCAGACCCTAGGTGCCGAGTCACACCTTGGAACGCCGCCCCTTCCTACGCGGTTTTGTGAGCTGCTGGGGGCCGGAGGCGGGTGGTGGGTGGGCGGGACGAGCCGGTGTGGGGCACCTTCTCCGAGGCCCGGCCGCGGCCCTGGGGTTTCTCCCCAAGCCGATGTCCCCGGGAGGTCCCGGGCGGGCGTGCAGCCCGGGCTCTGCCCTGCCCCGACTGTGGGCGTCGGGCAAGGCACTTCCCTGTTGGGCCTCTGGCTTCTTTGCTTTTACCTTGAGGGTTAATTTATTCACCAGGGATTCCTGGGGAGGCTAGGTGAGCTATCGGTGGGTGGTTGGCGGGGGGAGTTGCAGAGAGGGCTGGCCCGTTATCCTCGTCTGGTTCCGCCTTTCTCCCCAGCACCTGCCCTTGTTCTCCGCGCTTCACCTGCTTGGATTTGGCTCGAATCCAGCGCTGACAGCCAGAGTGGCCAGCGGTGGCCTTAAGTATTTAAACCTGTGGCGTTGGAGCCTGCTTCTTCCCGGGCGAGAGACGTGTTGGGGAAGTGGTGTGCGGTGACGGGAGTTAGAACTCCCCGGCCGGTCACCCAGTCAGAAGCTGCTGGGGAGAAAGCCTGGAGTTTGCTGCCAATCGCTGGGGGGTTTCTCCCTAGCGCTGGGTGCCCTAGAGGCAGAGGGGGCGTGTCCTCTGCGAATTCCATTCTCACCTTCCCCTCCCGACTCCTATCTTGCTGTCTGTTCCACCCTTGCTCCCCAACCACTTCCAGCTCCTGCGGGTGGGGTGAGGGGCTGTTCCCAGGCCAACACCTTCCGGTCCTTGGGGAGTGTAGATTCTTTCCCGGAGGGGCAGGGTTCTTTCTGCAGTTGCGCTGCAGCCCGTGCTGCTGTCCTGGGAACACCGGGGTTTGGGGTAGGAACACTCCCACTAAGGCCAGGCCTGAGGTGCCTACGGGCACACCTATGCAGTCACTCCTCTGCACTCCCGCTGTGCAGGCCTCCTTGCCTGGAATGTCCTTCGCTGCCCATCCTCATGGGCCCACGTGGGAGAGATCAGATCCATGCCCCCTGCCCTAGATTTGTGGGTGAGGCCAAGGACTGGCACTGTCCGGTGCTATAGCACCGGGGCACAGCCACCCCCCACCCCCTGCCCAGGCCCTGTTCTGTGGGTAAAACCCCCAGGCACACAGTGCCCACCTAGTTAAGGCTCTGCAAGCCTAAGCCTGAGCCTCCCAGGGGACAAGGACAGAAGTCACTTGGGGGCTTCCTCCTGGTCTCATCTGAGAAATCTAGGCCCAGAGAGGTGGAGGGACTAGAGAAAGTCACACCACATTCTCCTCTGACCCACAAGGGCGGGTCTGTAATCCTCTCTTCTCCTCCTTCCTCCAGGGCGCTGGGGTGGGGCCTCAGGACAGTGAACTAACTGACTGTGTCCCAGGCTCCAGGTCCCTGGCACAGCCAGAGTCACACTGACAGCCTGCCCAGAGGTACCCCATTTTGGGACCTGCACCCCAGTGGTCCTTGCCTGGCTCCTTCTTAGGCTCTCCCCAACCTACAGGCTCAGGATAGATGATAGCAATGCTTCTTCTTGGTGGCTGGAGAGGGGGACTGTCTACCCCCTACTATTTGCCTAGTGTGGGTCACCTGTTTTAACTTTACAGGGAGGCGGGGCCAGCATCTTGACTGACAGCTTCCTTGAGGCCTTGCATGGTGGAAGGTTTGGAACGCCTCCTTCCTCTCCCTTACTGGGGGGGGGGGGTCGGTCCCAAATCTTGAGACCACATAGACACTGGGTTCTGGATGGGGGGGCGGCGTGGACAGGAGCCAGCACAGAAAAGCTCAGCTAGGGGTGGGAGAACCTTCAAGGAGAGGGAGACCCCAAGAGGGGAGGGTGCCTCTTCCCACCACCTCTGCTGCCAGCCATCCACAGGATGGTGATTCCTCCCCACCCCTCCCAGCCCTGGAAGACCACTGGGTGGGGACTGCCCCTGGAGACCAGCTTAGGGATGACCATAGGCAGTGGCTTTGGAGTTGAGAGACAGGGTTCCGCTTCTGCTGGTGTGACTGGGGGCCTCCCCGTGCACTCAGAGAGATGTTGAGGCCCTCGCCGTTCCTGAGGATGGATTCTTCTGGGTGAAGGAGACCAAGCCCCTCACTGAATGGTGCTGAAACAAGCCAGGAGAGAAAGTGGGAATCGATGCCTGCCTGGGGGTCCTGACTGGGGTCTCCATGGGACAAGCGTCTTTCTGTTCTCTCTCTCCCTTGCTCTCTTGCTGTTGCTGGCACCTGGGCAGGTCTGGGGCCAGAGGCATGACCATGAACCCACAGGAAGGGGACCCCACAGCCGGACCTGGCTGCAGAGGACATGGAGGGGGCTCCCGGGGCCCCCTGCCAGAGGCAGAGGTAAAGTCCAGCAGCATATCCTGGGCAAGTGTTTGGTTCCTAAAACGCAGGAAATCCAGATACTGCCTAAGTAAGAAAAGAGATTCTACAACTAGGATTTTGAAGTTTAGAACATTTACAAAGCTGGGCTCGGTGGCTCACGCCTGTAATCCCAGCACTTTGGGAGGCCAAGGTGGGCAGATCACAAGGTCAAGAGATCAAGACCATCCTGGCCAACGTGGCAAAGCCCTGTCTCTAAAAAAAATAATAATAAAAATTGAAAAATTGAAAAAAAAACTGAAGTGGAAAAGAGGATTGACTTTCCTGTTTTCAGGATACAAATGGCTCCCAGAAAACCAGAAACCCAAATGGAAATCATCAAAGTAAAGATAGGCTTGGGGGATGCTTCTTCATCCACCTGTGAATGTTAGAGGCTCCAGAAGGAGAAGAGGGAGCAGGTCTGGAAGTGGTAAATATGATGAATAAAAGTGGGAATTTTCCCTGATCAGAAGAGGCCGTGAATCTGCACAGTGAAAGGGTTGGCAGAGCCCCAGGCAGGGTTACCTTAAAGAAAAAGACACACCCTTGGCATCTCCTGGTGACATTCTGGAAATCCACAGATAACATCTCAGAAGCTTCACAACAGAATAAATATTGACAAAGGAGAGAAGAAAAAAAACCAACACATTGGCAGCAGATTTCTCATCTGCAGCACTGAAAGCCAGAGGACTGAGGCTGGCCTGGGCCCAGAATTCTTAACCAGAGAGTTCATACTGTTCCCTGGCCAGATTAAGAAATACATTTTGGGCTGAGCGAGGTGGCTCACGCCTGTAATCCCAGCATTTTGGGGGGCCCGCCAAATGAGGTCAGGAGTTTGAGACCAACCTAGCTAACATGGCAAAAACCCAGCCTCTACTAAAGATAGAAAAATTAGCCGGGCAAGGTGGCAGGAGCCTGTATTTCCAGCTTTTCGGGAGACTGAAACACAAGAATTGCTTGAACCCAGGAGGCGGAAGTTTCAGTGAACTGAGATCACACCATTGCATTCCAGCCTGGGTGACAGAGTAAGACTCTGTCCCAAAGGAAAAAAGAAAGGCTGTAATGAAATGGCAGTTGATCAGAGACCCCAACACAGAAGGAGAGGGAATCGTCGTGAATTGAGTCACAGTTTCTAGGAAAATGTCAGTGGAGGCCGGACACAGTGGCTCACACCTGTAATCCCAGCACTTTGGGAGGCCAAGGCAGGCAGATCACGAGGTGAAGAGATCGAGACCATGCTGGCCAACATGGTGAAACCCCATCTCTACTAAAAATACAAAAAAAAATTAGCTGGGAGTGGTGGCATGCGCCTGTAGTCCCAGCTACTCAGGAGGCTGAGGCAGGAGAATTGCTTGAACCCAGGAGGCGGAGGTTGCGGTGAGCCGAGGTCGCGCCATTGCACCACAACAGCCTGGGGTCCTGGTGATGGAGTGAGACTCTGTCTCAAAAAAAAGAAGAAAATGTCAGTGGAAGGTGGCAGTGGAAGAAGAGCCTTCTTGGGGTAGCTCTTACTGGGGTGGGTGGGGCAGAAGGAGGCAGAGAGAGTCATGGGAGAGGTGGTGCTTACCCTGTGTTTTTTTTTTTTTTTTTTTTTTGAGACGGAGTCTCGCTCTGTTGCCTGACTGGAGTGCAATGGCACGATCTCAGCTCACTGCAGCCTCCACCTCACGGGTTCAAGTGATTCTCTTGCCTCAGCTTCCCGAGTAGCTGGGACTGCAGGTGGGCACCACCACACCCAGCTAATTTTTGTATTTTTAGTAGAGACGGGGTTTCACCATGTTGGCCAGGCTTATCTTGAACTCCTGACCTCAAGTGTTCCGCCTGCCTCAGCCTTCCAAGGTCCTGGGATTATAGACATGAGCCACCACTCATGGTGGTGCTCCAAAGTATGAAACATGGGCAGGTCCAAAGTCTTAAAGGATGAAGGAGGACATTGGTTGAAGAGAAAAAGTTCAATTTGTGGAGATGCGTAGCAAATTCCACAGGCGTTAAGTGGAAGAGTGGAAATGTTAGCTTGTTACTCAACAGATGTGAGCTGTTTTAATTATCCATAAACACTACTGGCAGCAAAAGAAGAGCTTTAACATGTCCACATGAAACTCCAGGGAGAGGAGCATGGGAGTGAGTCGGTTGCCTGACCTCACTGAGACTGTTTCTCCTCCTGTGAAATGGTAATGAGGCTGCCTCACTCACAGTGGTGGGAAGACTCGGAGATGGTCACCTCCTGCACAGCATATGGGACTCAGGAGTGTTTGTGAGCCGTTTCGGAGGGGTGAACCTTTGTTCTTCTTCCTTTTGTTTTTGACTGAGTTTTTGCTCTTGTCCAGTCTGGAGTGCAATGGTGCAATCTCGGCTCACTGCAGCCTCCCGAGTAACTGGGATTACGGGCATGTGCCACCATGCCCAGTTAATTCTGTATTTTTGTTTAGTAGACACGGGGTTTCTCCATGTTGGTCAGGCTGGTCTTGAGCTCGTGACCTCAGGTGATCTGCCTACCTCAGCCTCCCAAAGTGCTGGGATTACAGGCATGAGCCACCAAGCCCCGCACCTTTGTCCTTCAAGAAGGGCGGGACTTTTAGCAGGACCTGAAATAATGATCAAGCACGACTGCAAAGTCACAAGCTGTCTCCCTGGGCTCGAGGTGGCTCCCACTCAGGGAAGGCAATGGAGGTGTCAGCCAGTGCATCAGGAGCTGGGGTCATCAGTGTTCAGTCTCTGGCCACCCTGGGGGATGGAGGTAAACCTTTACAGGTAAGAAGAGTGAGGCCCAGAGACACTGAGTCATTTGTGAGCTCGCCAGGCTGAGGGGCGGCAGATGGAAAATTCAAATTTGGGAGGGTCTGACCCTGAAGTCCAACATCCCTGGAGCCCCCTGACCATGCCAGGTGTTTGAATTAATGGGACATCCCAGAAATAGTGCGTGCAGCATCCCAGAGGACAACTTCTGCTGTCAGCTACCCAGACCAATCAGCTGTGGAGAGCAGCAGCCCGCAGATGGGACACCAGTGCAGAGGGGGACAGGTGCTAGCTTGGCCTTGGGATGTCACATGCATACCCCCCATGGGGCATGAGGGTTGTGGGGCTCACAGGATGTACCTGCTGCCCAGCAGGTGCTTGGTCCCGTCCCTTTCCCCTTGAGCAGCTCCTGCCAGAACCCCATCCTGCCCTGCAGTGCGTTTGAGGCATGTGGGTCACAAGTCTCCCTCTCCTCCTCCAGGTGTGGCAGGCGTGCTTGTGGGACACCCGTTTGACACCGTCAAGGTGAGTGTCGTCACTTCTTTTCTCGGTGCATACATTGGAGAGAGACTCGCGGGGTTGGGGTGGCCGGAAGCCCGTTTCAGTATACAGCCCCAGGTGGGCAGCTGCTTTCCCACCAGGCCAGGTTGAACCTTCCTCTCTGGTCTGTCCAGGCATTTCCTGGCTGCGGCTGAACCACATGCTGGGTTCATGGCCAAGTCCATCCTGGGCTTGGCCAGCTGGGACCGAGGTGCCGAGGTTTCCTCCCACCCAGAGCAAGGACACCCACATTGTTCCCATGCAGAACCCCCCACACAGTGCCTTGAAAGAAAGAGAAGTTCAGAGAGAAAATACAAAAAAGCCAGAACTTGTCGATATCGCCCATGAACATGGCCTTCACGGAGTGGTGCTCATCCTTACAGAGCAACGGAGCAATGGTTTCCCACGTGCCAGAGGCTGAGGAAGGGCCCTGTTAGCCGGTTCCCTGATAACACCCCACACCTCCATGAACCGGGGTTCCAGGCTCTCAGATCCCACACATGGGAAACCAGGGAAATCCATGTCCTCCAGCTGGAAATTCCCAAATAAATCCCCCTGCCCTCCAATGGTGTGTGGGCTGTGTGACCTGAAAATAGCCCAGTGGTGGGACCCTTCCCTGCCCTTTTCCCTGGGCCCCAGGGCGAGCTGAGTGGGCACCAGGCCAGCCCTGCGCCTGCCGGCAGCACTACACGGAGCCCCTCTTTCCACTGAGGGAAGGCAGAGCTGATGGCAAGGCAGGCTGAGCATCCTGAGCTGGGTTTGTGGGAGACGTCCGGTCTCTTTATTCTCCAGTGAGCCCAGGCGTTTACTGTCAGAGACAGTGACTTCTTACCATAGGGCTGGATTGCACCCAGTGCAAGAGTGACAGTGTGGCCTTCTGTGTTGGCTGTGACCTTAAAAAGTTCTGTCCCTGGTCGTCATGCAGGTCCAGGCCCCTCTGCCAGCTGGTTTTCTGCATGACCTTGGGCTGGTCATTGTATCTTTTGGCTCAAACTTTGTCATTGTGCCAGTGCTCCACAGCATAATTTATGTTGGATTAAATACCAGCTCTGAAAAGCACAACTCTTCATCCACGGTGGGCCAATCTGGGGAGGAAGCTGAAAGGCCAGGCTTTCTCAGCAGGCAGTGACTGCACATTTGCTACACGGGCCTCCTGAGAGGGAGGCCATGCAGAGCCTGCCCACGCTGTCCCCGGCCCCAGCCGTGCCCACGCGCTGCCCAGTCAGGCCACTTGTGAAGCCTCCCCCAGGCCAGAGCAGCCCAGGATAGCTGGGCAGCGTCCACGTTGCAGTGTGTTTATATCTTGGTCATGCGTTGTGAACGCCTCTCCCAGCCAAGAAGTGCTTCACATTCACTTCCTCTTTCCAGCTCCAAGGAGGCCTGGGCTCTCTGAGCTATGAATCAGCCAGGCTTGCTTCTGGCTCCCGCCCGGCCCCCTCAGGCAGCCCCTGGCAGGCCAGAGAGCACTTTTGTCCTGGTGCTCCTCCGTCCTGAGCCACTGAGCCCACGAGCAGCACCCTTGAAGTTACTCAGGGACAGGAGTTTCTCCAGCCCATGAGGTTTTTACCCCCCAGACCCTGCTTCCCTGACATCTTTAGAAAATCTATTTGTGACCTTTTTTTTTTTTTTTGGCCACTGTGTTGTTCCAGCATCACATTTGGATGTACCTACCTTAAAAAGGTGAACTTTGGGAGCAGCCGTGGCTCAGGCCAGTTGTCCTGGTGCTTGAGGAGGCGAGGCTGCGCGTTCGAGGCCAGCCTGGGCGACATAGGAACCTCTCATTCGTTAAAAAAAAAAAAAAGGCTGAACTTTCTTTTTTGAGATGGAGCCTTGCTCTCTCGCCCAGGCTGGAGTGCAGTAGTGTGAACTCGGCCCACTGAAAGCTCTGCCTCCCAGGTTCAAGCAGTTCTGCCTCAGCCTCCTGAGTAGTGGGACTACAGACGTGGGCTGCCACGCCCGGCCAATTTTTGTATTTTTAGTAAAGATGGGATTTCACTGTGTTGGCCAGGATGGTCTTGATCTCCTGATCTTGTGATCCACCCACCTCTGCCTTCCAAAGTGCTGGGATTACAGGTGTGAGCCACTGTTCCTGGTCTGAACTTTTTTTTTTCCTTTGAGACAGAGTCTGACTTTGTCACTCAGGCTGGAGTGTAGTGGCACGACCTTGGGTCACTGCAACTTCTTCCTCCTGGGTTCAAGTGATTCTCCTGCCTCAGTCCCTGCAGGAGAATCAACCCCCCAGTAGCTGGGATCACAGGCACATGCCACCACACCTGGTTGTTGTTTGTTTTGAGTTGAGGTTCAGCACATGTAGAACGTGCACACAGTCCAGGTGTACGAGTCATCGCAAAGCACACGCATGGGGAGCCGCCACCCAGGAGAGACAGAACATGGCCAGCCCTCTCGAAGTGCCTGCTCCTGCTCCTATCAACTCCTCGCTCCCCTTCTTCCAAGGCTTCCACTGGCCTAACTTCCTCCTTTTTTTTTTTTTTTTTTTAAGAGACGGAGTTTCGCTCTTGTTACCCAGACTGGAGTGCAATGGCGCAATCTCAGCTCACCACAACCTCCGCCTCCTGGGTTCAGGCAATTCTCCTGCCTCAGCCTCCTGAGTAGCTAGGATTACAGGCACGCGCCACCGTGCCCAGCTAATTTTTTGTATTTTTAGTAGAGACGGGGTTTCACCATGTTGACCAGGATGGTCTCGATTTCTTGACCTCGTGATCCACCCGCCTCGGCCTCCCAAAGTGCTGGGATTACAGGCTTGAGCCACCGCGCCCGGCCTTCCTCCTTTTTTTTAAGACAGGGTCTTGCTCTGTCACCCCAGGAGAAACGCAGTGGTACAGTCATAGCCCACTGCAGCCTCAATTTCCCAGGCTCAAGCCATCCTCCCACCGCAGCCTCTCAAGTAGCTGAAATGACAGGCACACACCACCATACCTAGCTAATTTTTTTTTTTAAGTTTTTAGTAGAGATGGGTCTTGTTATGTTGCCCAGCTGGTCTCAAACTCCTGGACTCAACTGTCCTCCTGCCTTGGCCTCCCAAAGTGCTGGGATAACAGGCCTGGCCCACTGTCCTGACTTCCAACACCCTGGGACCCTTTTGCCTGGTTTGAACTTAATATAATTGCAGCTGTACCCCAGAATCGTCACGGGACACCCGAGTCCATGTCAGTCCGTGCTGTCACATGCCGCAGACCATCTCATGGCTGGGACAGTCACAGTTTATTCTCCCAGGCCCTTGGGACTGAAAGAATCCAAAATTTGGTTCTCCATAGCACGCAGAAATACAGCCACCGTGCTGAAGTGCACGGCCCTCACACGTGATTCTGCACGAGGGGAGTTTTCTGTTCTGCTTCCTTGAACACAACAAGAATCAGGGAGCAGTCACTTTCATCAGGGAGCAGTCATCTTGACCTGTGATGAGGGGGTGACCGGCCATCCCTGGGCAGGGGACGGGGAAGAAGGGTGGGGGCTGGCTGTGGGGGCCCCGCGCCTAGATGTGATGTTGAAATTTTGTGTTGCTTTAACTGCCTTTACTTTCTGAGCTAGGGGCTGTCTCCATCCATAGCAAAAGTGTAACTTTGTTGTAGATGGGCGTAAGCCTCACCCTGGAGAGCGCTAGTAAGTACAGACCAGGTGAACCAGACCCCACCCTGGACCCCACCCTGTCATGCCCATCTCCCCAACCCCACAGTTCCCTCCGTGGCAGGGGACAGGGAGGGTATGAGGCAAGCTTGGGCCCAGCACAGGTCCTGGGGTGGAGGCCCAGGCTGGTTAAAAAAAATCAGCCCCCTCTGGACTGGGGGTCCTCACGTGGGACCTACGGGGAGCTGGGAGCTTCCTGAGCTTGAGTACAAATGACTAGTTTCCCAGGGGTGGGCCCGTTCCCATCAGTCCTCAAAGGAGAGCCTGTCACCCCAGACTTTCAGAGCCTCAGCTGTAGATTATAAGACCTGGGACATCTCCCAGAGAGCGAGAGCTCGTCACAGACTGAGGGGTCAGGCCTCTGCCCATAGTGGTGGGAGCAGCTGAGCTGACCTAAGCGTGATGTTCCCCAGCGGGCTAGACTCGGGCATTCACCCATGTCTGTGGCCTGCGGAGGCTTCCCAACACTCCGCAGGTGGCACTGAATATCAGGCCTGGGAAGGGACAGCTCCATGCCATGTAAGTTCTACTCACACAGTCCTCTTAGTGCCAGTGTTGGGGCTGTAGGAAGAAGAAAGATCCCCCTAGAGACCCTAGATCACTGAAGGGAAAGCAGCAAAGCTCACATCAAGGTGCTGGCTGAGAGCTGGGCCTCCGGGGTGGGAGGGCGCTTCAGCGAATCGCTACAGTGGGCACCAGTTGCCCAGTTTCTCAAAGCATTGGCTTCCAGCTGCTGAGGTCCTGGGGGTACCGAGTTGGGGCTTGTTTCCTAACAAAACGTTTTTCGTAAGTGCATTCACCAATAGAGGACCCACCTATTCTGGTGGAGAGAATTGGAAAAGGTTGCAAAATCCAGCTAAGGCCTGGCTGTTCCCCAGTGAGGGCTCTGCTTTGCCAGCACCCCCGTCCCACCCTCACCCCGACCAACACAGCCGCTCCTGTCCCTGGAGACGACAGCTTTGGCCAAGTTATAAAACCTCTCTGAGCCTCAGTCTTCCCATCTTGGAAATGGGGACAGTTGTTCCAATGCCCAGAGATAATGAATGTGAAGCCCTCCCCTGTCCCATACTGCCTAGTGCCAAAGGCACTTTGCTCTGTGGCCCTGGCTGTGAGGATGGTCATTTTTCAGTCAGACCTAGGAAACCAGACCCTGAGAATGTGACTTGACCTAGTTTCCTCCCACCCCTCCCAACGACTCTGAGCCTGCTGTGGAGCAGAGATAAGCTCATAGGCAACAAAGGGCGCTTTGACATGGAAGAGGTTCTGGGCCACTAGCTCGAGGGCGGCAGGGCCTGACCAACGTCCCAGGCCCCAGAGCTGCTGACGTGGGTCCCCAAGGGGGTTGCTGCCTGTTCTCTTGCTGCCACCCTGTTAACTCATAACTGTTCTTCTCACGAGAGGCTACTGGCAGAGGCCAGGCAGGAGTTTCTGGAGCCAAGCCTCATTGCTTGCATTTTATTTTAATTAATTTATTGAGGTGAAGTGTCGCTTTCTTGCCCAGGCTGGAGGCAGTGGCGTGCTCTCACTGTATCCTCTGCCTCCTGGGTTCAAGTAATTCCCACCTCAGCCTCTGGAGTAGCTGGGATTACAGGTGTGTGCCACCATGCCCAGCTAATTTTTAGAGACATGGTTTCAACATATTGGGAAGGCTGGTCTCAAACTCCTGACCTCAAGTGATCCACCCGCCTCGGCCTCCCAAAGTGCTGGGAATACAGGCGTGAACCACAGCGCCTGGCCAGGCTCATCACTTTAGCACCTATTGCCTTGAAGCCAGTCCCTGATGGGACATTAGGCCAGGGGCCCTTCAGGCATGGTCTGGGACATGGGCCGCTCACTCAGCAGTATGGCAGGCATCACCCAGAGAATGGGCTGGTCTCAGGAGGTTGTTCATGCCCCACTGACAGTGCACTGTGCAGCCACAGTGTAGACAAGAGGCTCAACCTCAACTGGTCTGAGATCTTGGGGACCCCTACCCTGTCTCCAGCAGCCTGTCCCTGTAGCTGTTTGCCACTGGCACCCCACCCTGAGGAGGTATGGACGCCTGGCCTGCCCCACCCTGGAATTACAAAAGCCTCAGACTGCGGCTGAGTGCCCCACCTCCTTGGGAGACCCTCCCAGGCAGCCTGAGTGTTGGAGCGGGGAGCTGGGTGCTCTGGCTCCACCTGTCCGCCTCTCACTGGGCCCTCTCCTTCCAGGTGCGGCTTCAGGTCCAGAGTGTGGACAAGCCTCAGTACCGCGGGACCCTACACTGCTTTAAGTCCATCATCAAGCAAGAGAGCGTGAGTAGCCTGGGCTGCTGGGGCTCCGGAGGCGCAGGATGGGGAGCCAGCCTCGGGCTGCCACTGCCCCAGGCCAGGGAGCTGGGAAGGAGAATGTCAGGACGGCCGCGAGGCCAGTCAGGACTTAGGTTCTCGCAAAATTCTGCTTGGTCCCTCTGAGCCTGTGGGGTGGGCTGGGGCTGCCATGCCCCCACCCCTCCGTGTGCAGGGCCTGGGCGGTGCGCCTAGCCGGCCCTGAGAGCGTCTCTGTCCCCGCAGGTGCTGGGCCTGTACAAGGGCCTGGGCTCGCCGCTCATGGGGCTCACCTTCATCAACGCGCTGGTGTTCGGGGTGCAGGGCAACACCCTCCGGGCACTGGGCCATGACTCGCCGGTGAACCAGTTCCTGGCGGGCGCTGCGGCAGGCGCCATTCAGTGCGTCATCTGCTGCCCCATGGAGCTGGCCAAGACGCGGCTGCAGCTGCAGGACACGGGCCCGGGGCGCGCCTACAAGGGCTCGCTGGACTGCCTGGCGCAGATCTACGGAAACGAGGGGCTGCGCGGCGTCAACCGGGGCATGGTGTCCACGCTGCTGCGCGAAACGCCCAGCTTCGGCGTCTACTTCCTCACCTACGACGTGCTCACGCGGGCACTGGGCTGCGAGCCGGGCGACCGCCTGCTGGTGCCCAAGCTGCTGCTGGCGGGTGGCACGTCGGGCATCGTGTCCTGGCTCTCTACCTACCCCGTGGACGTGGTCAAATCGCGGCTGCAGGCGGACGGGCTGCGGGGCGCCCCGCGCTACCGCGGCATCCTGGACTGCGTGCGCCAGAGCTACCGCGCCGAGGGCTGGCGCGTCTTCACGCGGGGACTGGCGTCCACGCTGCTGCGCGCTTTCCCCGTCAACGCCGCCACTTTTGCCACTGTCACTGTGGTGCTCACCTATGCGCGTGGTGAGGAGGCCAGGCCCGAGGGCGAGGCTGTACCCGCTGCCCCTGCGGGAGCCGCCCTGGCACAGCCCTCCAGCCTGTGAGGCTCGCCCCCTGCCTCCTTCCCCGGGGCCCTTCTCGGAAACTCGAGACGTAAACTGGCCCCTGAGCCGACTGCCATGTTGGGGCTGGGATGCTGTGGGCTGTGGACTCTGTCAGACCTGGGTTGAATGTTGCTTATCAGCTGGGTGACTTTGGCTGAGAACTTCACTCCGCTGGCCTCAGTATTCTCACCTATGAAATAGGGATCCTCATATCCACATTGTAAAGTCACCAAGGTCAGAGACTATTCCAAGCGGCAGCTGGACCCGGCCTGGCTGAGGCCATGCTGTGCCCCGCACCATGACCCTGGAAACCCAGGCAGACACTCCAGCTCCTTCCCGGGTCCCGGCCATGCCATTGTGCTTCTGCCCTACATGCTGGTGCCTGGGGGGTCTCTGACGACCCACCAATGGGCGGCCCAGGGACGGGTTAACTCCACACATCCTCCACCTACGAGGCTTGTTGGCCACCCCTCTGGTCTTTAAAGGTTAGGGATAGAGGACACCTTAGTGTGCCTCCTGGTGCTGAGGAACTAGATCCTCTGCGTACCCCAGCTTCTCCACATGACACTGCTAGGGGTACCTGGTGGCTGCCACTCCAGAGGGTGAACTGGGGACCCTCCACCCTCCAGGAAGCCATGGTGTCCGCTGGAGGCACCATATCAGCCCACAGGACTAGGGTGGGGAGCAGACAGGCCAGTGGGCGGAGGTCTTGACAGTTCAAGTGTGATGCAGCTGTGGCAAGGAGAAATCCTTTCACCTTTGCAGCCTTGCGTTGTCCATCTGTAAAATGGGGACATGGCCAGCTGATGGACACCTGAGTCTCTGGCCCACCCACCACTGCCAGCCAGGATCCGCCAAAGTGTGCAGAGGGCTCAGCAGAGAGCACTATGAGACGTCCCTCACTAGGGCTAGAACACCTCTGGCCATAGCCAAAGGTCAGTTTCTCTGCCCCCAGCACATGGTACCTCTGAGGCATTCCCAGTGCCAAGGCTCTGTCCCTGTGAAGGTGCAGGGCCTGCTAGTGGGGTGGCTAGTTGGGGTCTAGGGCAGAAGAGGGCCATTCCAGGCATCCTGGGGAATGTGCTGAACGAGGACAACACTGGGCTTTGCACAGCCTGGCATCACTCTACAGAAACCATCAAGGGAATAAAGTGTTCTTTGTTTTGTAAGTGGTGCGGCTGCCTTTGCATGTGCTGGAGGAAAGGGCTTCATTCAACACCCTAGCCCCCGAGTCGAAGGGGCTGGCTCAGGGCTCTCTGTGCCCTCCGATCCTGACGACAGCCTTGGCTATGTGATCTGGGTGGTTATGGATAAATCTGAGAGCCTCAGTTTCCTCATCTGCAAGGTGAGTTAATGAAGGTGAGGATTGAAATGTCAAGCTCATGAACACGCTGGGTACAGCCTCGGCCATTCAGCAGATGCCTCTCTGCTGTCATCATCCCAGCAATGAGAGGCCTGTGGCGAGGGACACTGGCAGGCGGGGCAGCAGGGGTTGGGGGTGTCTCCTGGAGGAGTGGAGGTCTGAGTGGAGCTGAGCATTTCAGCCATTTGGGCAACTTGGGCACAACTGTACCTAACCCAGCCTAGGAGGTCAGAGAGGGCTTCCTGGACGAGGCCTTCCTGGAGCTTTACCAAAGGTATAGTTGTGGGAGTCTCACTGCCACCTCACCTGCAGTTCTGTTCAGCCCCCGGCACCCTGAGCCTCTGTAGCCACCAGCCCTGGAGGCTTTCCCTCTAACCGCTGAGCCAAGAAGCTCTGCCCACTGACAAGGGAGAGTCAGGGAGGGGCCCCAGTTCCCATGCCCATTTAATCCTAGTGCCAGCCCGTGAAGGTGGGCTTTACACGGAGGCAGGAGGCCAGGAGGAGGCTGGCTCTGAACCCTGGGGTCTCCTGGCCTCTCCCACTTCTCTTTACTCTAAAATAAACGGGGAAGCTCCCAGGAGTGGGGGACACATGGGCCATGGGCTAGGAGAGGGTCCCCTTCCCTGACTCCTCCATGCCTCTCCAGGCCTGGGTCGCTGAGTCTTGGGGCAGCTTGGGTGGGCCTGTGGCTGTGGTGTCCTAGGCCCCATCACTTTAGATCGCTCCACACATCTGTGCTCTCCGGAAAGCCCCAGCGTGACCCTTGTCAGGAACTGATTACAGCACAAACGTTTCTCCAGCCCTGCTCACTCTCCATGAACCCTGCAGCTGCCTGCCCTCTGGGGACAGCACACAGACAGGCCAGCCCTTCAGAAGTGAGGGGGGCGTGCAGCAAGGAGCACCGTGAAGGGGTGGGGAGCTGCCAGCTCCCTCCTACCTCCCAGTTCAGTGGCCTCACAGGCAGGACCAACACAGCTGCCAGTAGAGTTGTTGGTTTTTTTTTTTAGAGACAGGGTTTCACCATGTTGGCCAGGCTGGTCTCGAACTCCTGACCTCAAGTGATCCACCCGCCTTGGCCTCCCAAAGTGCTGGGATTACAGGTGTGAGCCACTGCATCTGGCCACTGATTTGAATTTATTTAGAATAAGTGATATATGGGCCAGGCGCGGTGGCTCATGCCTGTAATCCCAGCACTTTGGGAGGCCAAGGCGGGTGGATCACGAGGTCAAGAGATCGAGACCATCCTGGTCAACATGGTGAAACCCCGTCTCTACTAAAAATACAAAAAATTAGCTGGGCATGGTGGTGTGTGCCTGTAATCCCAGCTACTCAGGAGGCTGAGGCAGGATAATTGCCTGAACCCAGGAGGCGGAGCCGAGATCGCGCCATTGCATTCCAGCCTGGGTAACAAGAGCGAAACTCCGTCCCAAAAAAAAAAAAAAAAAGAATAAGTGATATATGAAGGTGATAAAAACTAAAAATACACCCAGAACCCAGACTTGTGCAGTGAAGAGGAAAACCTTCCACCTCCCCATGGGCCAGCCTATCCTCCCAAACAGAGGACAGTCTCCAGTTCCCAGAGGGCATCCAGCACATCTTGTGCAAGTGTCAGCATGGAGCGGGGTGGGGGTGGGGGCGGGGGGGGGATGTCTCCAACCCCCACAAATGAAGCGTGGCTGAGGTCCTGACTGTTCTGTGCTTTGCTGTCTTCCCTCGACAGTGCTCTTGGAGATTGCATTCGTCTCCTATGGCTGCTGTAACAAAACACCACACGCTGTGGCTACACAACAGCCATGAGTTCTCTGGCAGTTCTGAGGGCCACAGTCCAGCTGCAGGCAGGGTTGGTTCCTTATGGGGGCTCTGAGGGACGTTCCCTGCTCCTTCCAAGCTTCTGGGGGTGGCTGGGAACCCTTGGCATCCCTGGGCTTATGAGTGCATCAGTCCGGTCGCTGCCTGCGGCTCTTGCCGCCTTCTCCTGTGTGTCCATGTGTTGTCTTTTTATAACGACACCAGTCATGTGGGATTCAGGGCCCCCCTACGCCAGTATGACCTCATCTTAAGATCATCTGCAGAGACCAGTTTCCAAATCAGGCCAAACTCAGTTGCTTGGGGTTAGGACTTCAACATGTCTTTCTGGGGCCACACTCCAACCCTCAACAGGGATCTCTATTCATGTGTTTGAACTGTCCTCATTCCTGCGGGCGGCTGCATGGCATTCCATTGGATAAACTTTGCTTGACCGCCAGGCGCGGTGGCTCACGCCTGTAATCCCAATACTTTGGGAGGCCAAGGCGGGTGGATCACCTGAGGTCAGGAGTTTGAGACTGGCCTGACCAACACGGTGAAACCCCGTCTCTACTAAAAATACAAAACTTAACCGGGCATGGTGGCACATGCCTGTAATCCCAGCTACTCAGGAGGCTGAGGCAGGGGTATTGCTTGAACTCGTGAGGTGGAGGTTGCAGTGAGCCGAGATCATGCCATTGCACTCCAACCTGGGTGACAGAGCGAGTCTCCATCTCAAAAAAAAATTGCTTGATTTGCTTTTCTAATCAGGTTTGGGAGAATAGCTGGAGGATGAATCTGAGCAGAGTCTTGAAGGAGGAGCAGCAGTGGACGGAGCCAGAGGGACAGGGAAGTGGTAGCTGGAAGGGCAGATGGGGAGGGGGTCGAGGCAGGGCCTAGAGGACCATAGGGCCAGACATTCAAGAGGGCCATGAGGCTGGGTCACATGGCAGCGCCTTGGGGACAGTGGCATCCTCCTAAGTGGCAACTTCATACCCTTCCTGCTCTTGAAATCTCAATTTGTTCTGGGCTTCAGGATGTCCAACTCAAAACACCTTGCCAGACTTTTTTTTTTTTTTGAGAGTTTCACTGGTCACCCAGGCTGGAGTGCAATGGCAAGATCTTGGCTCACTGCAACCTCTGCTTCCAGGTTCAAGCGATTCTCCTGCCTTAGCATGTTAACCACGCTGATCTCAAACTCCCGACCTCAGGTGATCTGCTGGCCTTGGCCTCCCAAAGTGCTGGGATTACCGGTGTGAGCCATGGCGCCCAGCTCCCTGCTTGCCACTGGAGTTGGCCATATGTCTGACAGCTTCTGAGAAAGCTGTGAAACAGGTAAAACACACCTGTGGCACACCCCTTGACCTCTAACCTTGCTCCCTCTGCTTCCCACTGAAAAAGGGATAGGATGCCTGGAGGTGCAGTGGGAGAGACCACAGCCTTGAGCTGCAGAGCCAGCTGGTCACATCCCCTCATTCAGCACGCTGTTCCTGTCACTTGCAGCCAAAGGCACCACTAGCCGCTGTGCAGAGCTGAGTTTATTTGGTTGCATCAGCAGCTGTAAACAGGTTTTACCCAGGGGAGTGGCAGGATCCAATTTGTGCTTTGAAGACCCCACAGGAGGTTAGGAGGGAAGAAGAGGCAGGCCAGGGTAGGGGGGCAGAGGCCATCAGGGTGTGTGAGCCAAAGGCCAGGAATGGGGGGCTCCAGGGGCAGGTGCGTGAGGCCACTCGGGAATAAAAGGCAGAAGCGCTCTTGGAGGCGACACTATGTGGCAGGAGCTAGTCTGTGAACTCCGTAGGGATCTGGAGTTTGTGGCTCCTGCTATGAAACGGCACGGCCAAGGCCTTTGTCTCAGGGATGGGAAAGCGGGAGGCTTAAAGCGTGGAAAGGCAGAGAGAAGGGGACAGGCCCCATGAGGGTCCTTGGTGCAGAGTTTAGGCAAAGCATTGGCAGTTTGCAGCGTCGAAATCTTAGAAACTGTTTTCCAATCTCAGAGCCCACACCAGGTTCACACACAGACTTCCCCTTCCCTTTTCTTTTGATTCCTTTGGACATCAGGTGCAAATGAACGGAACATGAGCCTCCTTGTGGCACTCGTCAGCAGCCTGGGCCTTCAGTGAGTCATTTCTCATCAAAAGCACCTGTGAGGCCACATGGACCCTGCTGGGCAGGTTCTTGTGACTGTAGGGATGGTTCAGCCCTTTGCATACCTGTCCCTTCATCCTCCCAACAGCCCTACAAGGTCGGTGCTGGCACCCCCATTTTGCAGTGCAAGTACCAGTTGGGGAGGGCCCTTGTCCAAGGCTAGTTGGTACTGGAGCGCTGGGGACCGTCAGCCAGTCCTTAGCCTTTCAGCAGGGGCAGCAACCCTGGGCACCACAGGGGGCTGGGCCAGGATCCATGCCACGTGCTTCCAGATCTCGGCTTCCTTGCTGCTTGTTGCTCACACACCCCTGGCCTCCTGGTACCCGCCTACCCATGAAGAGGCAGATGCAATACTGGGTCCAGATGCCACTTCCCAGGGAACTGGGAAAGGCAGGGTGAGGCCAGTGTCCACCTTGACCAGGGCACAGCAGAGACAGGGCAGAGGCTGCAGGGGAATGGGCCTGTGCCCCAGGGCTCCTTACTCAGCCTTGCTTCCCACCGACTTGACCTCCCCCAGGCTCATGGGGAATGCCAGGCCCCCCAGTGCCCCTCTGCAAGCAATACCCTTCCCAGCCACGCTCTGCCAGGCCAGCTGACACACCAGCTGTAATGATGCCCACAAAGTTTGGGTGAAAGAATAAGTTCAAATCTGGCTAGAATGTCCTTGGGGATGCTGAGGACACAGGACAAAGAGCAGACACAGGGGAACATGGTGAGCTCTCTTTGATGTCGTGACAGGACTGGCCTGTTTCTTGTTGATCTCCCCAACCTCTACCTTCCCTCCATGAGGGCCAGGGGTGTGAAGTTAGCATGCTGAATGAATAAGTGAATGGGTGAGCGCAGAGGCTGCTGAAGACAGAGACAGGTTGGGTT